AAGGGATGAAACGCCTCTTCTATAAGGACAGCTGAGAGAGCTGGGACTACTCAGCCTGGAAAAGAGGAAGGTCTGAGGTGACCTGATACTGGCTTTTCAATATCTAAAGGGCAGCTGCAAGAAAGAAGGTGACAGACTCTTCAGCAGGGTCTGTGGTGATAGATGGGGGGGGGAAACAGCTTCAAGGTTAAAGAAGGTAGATTTAGGTTGGATATAAGGAAAAAGTGAGGGTGGTGAGAAACTGGCATAGGTTGCCCAGAGATCTGGTTGATGCCCTGTCCCTAGACACTTTCAAGGTGAGGCTAGCTCAGGCCCTGGTCAACTTGATGTAGTTGTGGATGTCCCTGTTTATTGCAGAGGATTTGGACTAGATGATCTTTAAAGGTCCCTTCCAACTCTAAGAATTCTATGATCAAAAGCCCTATGCTTTGTCTGGCTTAGTCTAGACCCATGGCTGTGGGCGCTATCATGTCTTTGAGTGCTTTACCACTCTCCAGGTGGGCCTTCTCCTTCTCTGCTTGAACTTTGTTACTTGTTGGAATTAGAATAATTCTTTTAACTTTGCTCCACAAACTGCTATTTCTTTCTTCCTGACTTTTTTTATACGGCTATTACCTTTCAAGGTTCCCTTCTGTAATGTTGTCACTGAGACAGACATCTTGATTATTTCTTTTACAAGTAGTAGAAGTGTGTGCTTGATACCTAGACTTTTCTAGTTTGATAAGACTGAGAAAATTATTACAGGAGGAATATGATTTCCAGTCTTTGCTGTCTGAAACTAGACTTCATCATCGTTAACAGACTGTCTGCATTGTGCTGAGGACCGATGAGCTCTCCATAGTAGTGAATAAAGGTTATTTATCTCTAATGACAATTCTATCTTTTACACCTTTGATCAGCTTATCATGGAATAACTGAGTAGATCTTATTTGCTCTTGTACATTTACTCATGGGAAATCACAGCAAGTTGTTGTGGGCAATTGCTTTAGTTGTTCAGGGACTCTGAAATGCAGCCGTTGTGTGTCCTTTCCTATTTTAAGTTGCTTGGCAGAGGAAGGTCAATAAAGGTAGGGATTTGTCTCAATACAGTTTTCGTGTTGCTGAGCACTAGCCACTGCTTGAATGGATCAAAACTGGGTTTGAGGGAGTTTGAATTTAGCAGAGGGAAAAACAATAAATCTCTTTTTTTTTTTTTTTTTTTTTTTTTCTTAATACTTCAGGATGGACCAGGACCAAAACTCTTTAAGGCCTTAACACAACAGGCTTGAGTAATTTCCATTTCTAAATCCAACCATTTTTTGTAACATCTTAATTTGGAAAGACACAGAAGTTAGTCTTTGGAGAACTAAACAAAGATTTGGGTAACTGAGTTCTGGCTAGAGATTTAAGCTGATGTTTATTTTATTCACCTCATAAATAGCAGTGGGCGGCAGCTGACACTGAAACAATGAGATTAGTCACCAGCTTTTTTCCCAACACCTCTGTGTTTTATATTTAGTGATCTTGCTTGTAAAACCTGCCATTTCAAATAGTATCTACATAAAGTAAAATATATTTTACTAACTTTAGTGAGAGTAATTTGAGTATTTTCTGTTCTTCCTTAAACAATGAAGAGTAAATTAACATGTTGCAAATTTAAGTTGTATTCAGAAATTACTGAATGTGTTGAATGTGGAATTGAGTCCCAGATTTGCATGAGTACATTTACCTACATAAACTGGTTGTCTAAATATGATATAGTTGATAGTTGATTGAGATCTGATCAGTGCAATATCTGAAGAGCCACACAGTTCACTCTAACATTGGCACCCCTGTTTGGTCAGCTTATTAATTTTCTGAGCTCAGATTCTGATTAAATCCCCAAAGAAGGAGGAGACAACTGTGGTGTAACTTGTTTGTTCTGGCATAGGGATCTGTTGCTGTTTTAGATGTCCTAGGAGATTCTATCTGCTCCCCAGATGCTCTTCTAGAAGGACACATCTTTTAGAGTTTTTAGTCATACCTGCAGGTGTTATGAGTAGACTTTGGTATCTCACAGACAGCCATGTGTGGGCAATCAACCATGCAGACATCTCATTCAGCTTGGTAAATCCTGTTCTTTGTAAAGAAACAACATGATTGGCCTTTCAGATCACCTTTGAAAAGGTTCTACCTTGACTGTATGCATACTATCTGGAACATAGGAAACTGAAAAAGATAAATCCCAAGCAACAATCAACGCTATCTTTCTTAGATGACTGCCTGGATTCCTTGATAACTTCTGACTGTCAGTAAATAACTTGGAGGTATGTTAAGTGCATCAGTTTTTTAATGTATACATACATTGTAGAGGTTCTGACTACATAAAACTCACTTTCATCTATAGACTGAATATTTTAACTTGTGATTAGTAGTCCAGAGGTTTGATTATCTACTCACAACACAGGACACCTGTGTTCTAGGCACAATTTATTGAAAAGAGAGTCAATCAAATATGCTGAGAGACAGCCAAATCTCAGGCTATCATGGATTATAAGAGCCTGACTCTGGGCTAGAATGGAGTACATGCTTCAGGTGCTAATATTACTAGTTGTCAGCATATTAATGATAATATTACTAGCTACTTTATGCTTTTCTCTCATCACATATCCAAACATTTCAATAATGTGCACATACCTAATGTTCTTAACTTGCATTTACTGCTTCATGCATTTCATGTCACTTTCAATCACAATGGTACAATGAAATTATTTGTTCACAATTACTTACATGTCAGTGAAGATGAATATACTCCAAAAAAAGATGCAGATGTATTTGCTTACCTCTTGAAATGTGAAAAAGAATTGATAGGCACTTGACATAAAATGTTTTTGTGTTGGGTGTTCTGTCATGTCAGTGCAAAAACAAATCCCTCCCTTGCTGTTTCTTATACTAAATCTGACAGAAGTGGATAAGTGTTATTTATTTTTCGTGGCATCAAAAGAAACGCATCACAATTGGTTGAAAAGAGTGTTTATTGGACTTGATTAAAAAAGTCTTCAGACTTCTGTGCTGCACAGAATGAAAACAAATAGATTCCACAGAATAAGTTCTGAATTTCAGAGGCTTCATGCAGAAGATCTGTAGATGCCTAAATCTTGACAGCTGACTCTTTGAATGGATCTCGCCCTCAGGCCGTGTATGTATGTTACCTCAGTCAGCTCCCTGGAGATATCTCAGTTTTTCTTTAGCATTTCAAACAAGAGCATGCAAACAACGTTTTTAGTTTAATTTAGGAATAATGAATGACTCTGGAATGATACTGTCTACTTCTTCTAATGCCCTTTAAGAGTGTAAATCATACCTGAATTCTGTATGAGCTGGATTGTAAATAACAAGAAAATCTAGCTATGTATCAGGAAATATTTAAAGTTATTCCTTTCAGTAGTTGTCTAAGTATGTAGATTTCTCCTGATTTGGCTTAGAAGATACTGGAGCCTCCTTCCAACCAGAATTGCTAGTGCGACAAGAGTTTCTTCAGCTGATACAGAAATGACAGACATATTAGTCAATTCAAACAATATACAACCAAAAATGAATAACTTAAAAGGGAATTTAGACTATAGGTATTTTCTAGAGCATGACTTTTCTCTAGTCAGTTAGGCTTCTTATGCAGAAAGTCTACTGCTTTGAGAACAGCAAACAGTATAAATTTGACCATGGATATGTAGTCAGTATTGACTAAAATGGAGTCTCTGTCCCTCACCAACTTCAAGGCAGCAATTGGCTGACAGCATACTTAGGCAATGAAAACTTGACAATTATATTGCTAATCAAGTTAATTGTGGTCTCAAAGAGCTGTGTCCCTATTTCGTTGATCTGGGGGAAGAAGAATTCCTAGGCATTCCTGATGAAATGATTAAGTCAAACTGAATGCTTTAAATCAGTTTTCATTTGAAATTGCCTTTGACAAGACTTTTTATTAATAAACCTCTCTATAGCACATTTAATTGTCTCAGCTCCTTTTATGTCTCTTGAAAATGCTTGTATGCAACTCTTCTGACATCTTCAAGACAACTCACAAATATTTCAGGTGCACAGACATAATATCAGTATCAGAAAATTTGAGTAGTTCTTTCAAACCTTAATTTTAGTAGAAAGTATTTTTATTTGTTGTCCTGTCTTTTCTGTTTGCAAATCATGACTAACTTGTCACCACTCTGAACCATAGCCCTGATATCTATTGTTTATTGTGAACTCCAATTTGAACAGTTGTATCTCCAAGAGCAAATGGCTCCTCTGTAGATCTTGTAGCTAATTAAAAATTTAATCTGATAGTGTAATTTATTTGATCATATTTATATGTACAACATAAGCCTGACCTTAAGTCTTACTTCTCACATGGCATACATTGTACAGCCTGTTCTGAATCGGTGGAGGGATAAAGAAGAATTTAGATAGAAACAAATCAAGAGAAACTGAAATGACTAAAAGAAAGCAATCTAACCTGTATACACAGGAGAATTGTTTTTCCTTCTCTCATCCATTATTCCATTATCTACTTTATCTACTTACACGCTATCAATTGTCTCAATCTGTAATTTATTCCTTGACACATCATGAATTAAAAATCCACTCCAAACTATTGGTTGGTATTTGGGTATATGAGAAACCCAGGCACAGAACTGCTCTGTGCCTTGATGTAAATGCCTTCTTTCCTGGGTTTTTAGTTCAGGGCTTTTCTTTTTCTCCTTGTTGTTTGAAATATATATGTACACACATATAAAACACTATAAAAAATAAAAATAAACTCCAGCCAAACAACAAACAAAACCCCGTGCTTTCAGAAGAAGCTAGACATAAGGACTACATTGGCAGAATTTCAACTGACTTGAAATGTCTTGCTGAACTCAAGCAGGCATCCTAAATCCAACAAGATGTTGGTCACTACTAAGTTTTTCACGCAGAGGATGGTGACACATTTGAACAGGTTGTCCAAGGAGGTTGTGGATGCCCCATCCCTGAAGGCATCCAAGGCCAGACTGGATGTGGCTGTGGGCAGTTGTTGGATCTGGTAGTTGGTGACCCTGCACATAGCAAGGGGGTTGAGACTGGTTGATCACTGGTCCGTTTCAACCCAGGCCATTCTATGATTCACTGCAGTCCACTATAGGGGTGTAGATTCCTGTAACTTAAAGATGATAGTGCATATAAGTTGGAGTTAATTCTACTCTGTCAAAAAAGCTGAATACAAAAATGATGGACCATAACTAACAATTTGCTGTTTTCTTGCAAAATCTTTTGAAGGCATGTGTGGGTGATTAGTGTCATCTGGTTAAGATTATGGTTTTTCAACATCCACATCAAAATGCTTTAATTTCCTGTGAGTTAACTTCCCCACTGCAGAAATCTGTTGTAAATAATAGCTGCTGTAAACAGAGCTTTGAAATGATCAAAATAAGGATTCTGAAACTGTACAGAATCATTTAGCACTCTTCCTGCTTAGCAAACTCTTTCTCCTAGTTTCTTATGCTGAAAGTGTCAAAACAAGATATTTCAACACTGTCAAAGAGCCTTCTCCACTGTTTTCAAAACACATTTTGATTTAAATTGATATACTGCTTTTTAAAATTTTGATGTAACAGTACTTTGGTGGTAAATTGCTTTGAGAAAATTTGGTCAGCATATCATGGGGGTTTTGAGGAGACACTAAAACTGAACTACTATCAATAATTGTAGTGCACTTGGTTATAGAGATTGGCATTACTGTCCTGGATATGTGTAAAGAGGGTCAAGTGGCGTGGTGAATTACACTTCTTAATCATGAATACGGGATAATTTTAAAGGTGGTACAAGCTCTGGAAGAACAGCCTTTTTAAAATAGCATTCCAATGCGATTGTGGGTATTGACCTCATGTGGAGAAATGATGTAAAATTTTACACAGACCTTACTTTAGATGCTCATTACCAGCTCAGAATCTACTTCAACGGTTTTGATGTTGGAGAAAACTCTGTTCTCTTGCACTGTTATGGTCTTCTGGGGAGCTGTCTTCTTTCTCAACTCTAAGAGAATGAATAATTTAATGGAACTTTTACTAGGCTATTGAACAAATATTTGCATATTTATTCTACAGTAAACTTTGTGCAGTTACAGGAACTTTTCTGTGAGCTACTGTAGGTGTTTTCTCTTAATAGATAAAAGCTGTAAGTGAGGGAAAGTAAAAAAAAAAATAAATAATAATAATTCTGTTCTTTAAAATTCTCTATTTTTCTGCTTCAGTGTAATACAAATATCTTGTTATTTTTCAAGATTCTTCAGTGTTTTGCTGAGAAGATTTTGAACCAGCGCATTAATCAAATACTTGAAAATATCAAATATTCAGAGTACTAAACTCTGGTTATTCACTGGGGCTGGAGGAGCCAATTCTTGTTGTCTGATTCATTTACTGATTTGCATATTTGCAGCAGGGCCTAATATTTCAGCTCAGGTTTGCTTTATAAGGCTGTGTGAGAAATATTGCAAATTCAGTACATCATCTGAGTGCTCGGGCAGCAGAGGCGAGCTCTGTTCTGCCTAATTGGGATGTAAATTTAATTGCCAACAAGGCCTTACTCATAAAAACTAAAGAAAATGGCAATTAACTGTCCTTCAAATATCCTGTGTGTGTCAGGGCTCTCGGATTTTTCCAGCCTCACAGTTGTAGGTACTCCTCTTTCATTAGCTCAGCTTTGCAAACATGAATATTGACAACTAGAAACAAATGCCTTCTCCTCATCTTCAGCTACCCACTTTCCCCTACTTTTAGTATCATGCTGCTTTCTTCCTTCCATTTGTTACAATCTTTCAGTGATATTTTTGCCTTTTTTTTTCCAGCTGTTAAACCTTTTATTCCGCATTCTGCTTTCTATGGCAGTCACAATTGGTATCTCGTGGCTGAAGTCAAAGTTTGCATTTTGGAGAGCTAGATTTTCTTCAGGAATTCCCTGTATGATTTTACTGTTCCTTATATTTACAAATCTTTCCAGGCACTGACCAGTGGCTTATCCTTTATTCTTATTCAAGTCAAATAATCTTTATAAAGGCTTGGAAGTGCACCAGTGCCTTCGCCCATGGGACAGAAAGGAAGCAACTGTCAGTCTCATGTCATATATTCTCATAATAGGAATACACCGAGTTTCCTTCATTGTTTCTAATTAAGGAAAAAGTTGTAAAACTAAAGGATTCAGAGATCCTTTTCCTGTGTTCTTTTTATCTCACAGCTTTTGAAGTTTGCAAGTGTGGGCTGTACGTATGTTTCTGGTTTGTATGTGTCATTGGTATGAATTTTGTGCCATGTGGTAGGCAAACAAAAATAAAGATACTATAAAATGAATATTGGTATTAAAAAAAAAAAAAAAAAAAGTCCTATGGGAATAAGTAGAGTATTAAGGGAAGCTATTTTTGACACCATGAAAATCAATTCTTCTTTACATCTGAAGTTATTATTTTGGATTAAATGATATTAGTGAGTAACAAAGGAACACAAAATATTTGTTAACTAAATATTTTGAAACCTGAATTGTCTGCAGAGAGCATAGTGTAAAAGAAACATAGTTGAAAAATCTCTTATCTTAGTCTTTTCTTCATGATAAGGCACATTTACTGAGACTTGTCCCCTAACATGGTTTTCAGACCTATATCTTATTTAACTGGTTTTACAAAATAGTCTCGAAAAATCTTTTGCCCAGCACATGTGTCAGATGACCAGACTGAAGCATTAAGAACTTTGATTCCTCAAACCCTCAGGGAGTTTGTGTTCAAATTGCTTCCAGTAAGAACATACAGAAGAGCATGTGCATGACTGATACAGCAATGTAAATTTTTCATAGTGACTGTGAAGAATGATTATGATGTTTGCATAGTATGAGTTCGCTTTACTTGAAGCCATATCATTTTTTCTTTGCAGGTACTCTAATTTCCCCGAAAGCCATGCTGGCTTCTGCAGCATTCTATGTGCCTCTACCATCAATTGTGTTGGGCTGAATGCTGCGTTGTTGCAGGATGTAGCTACTGTGTTGTCTCTGTTCACAACAGGCTTAATGTCCTCTATGATAAGGAAAGGTATAGGACTAGATTTAATTTCTTTCTAATCACTTTTCTCCGACTGGTATTTGGGTTTTATAAGCCTATAACATGTTGCGCAGTTCAGTATGTGTCGGTGAACAAAGCACAGTCATCAGTAAAGATGGCTGATCCTCAGCCTTTGATTTTACTTTGGGTTTTTGCAAGGTGAAAACACCATCTGGTAAATGAATGTGAATCTTCCTTTGCTGCTGTGTAAACAATATTGCTGCTCGAATTATGGAGAAGCAAGAGGTAAATATAACCTTACTTGGTGAAAATGTGAATTATTGTACTAGTCTGCTGCAATGAGGAACCCTCATCTCCCTGACATGAAATTAGTGAACAGTATTCATAAAACTGTCTGGACAACAGGAGTTCTGCAATAAAACTGCTGAAACATTCATAATTTACCTCAGCGGCTTTCATCTGATACAGACCATATGTATGTCTTTATTTTGCTGTAGACTTCACCTGACTTCTCTTGGCTTCAGAAAGCGATTAACCAGCCAGACCTCCATCATGTTGCTGCCCTTCAAAAACAGCTTTTCAGCAAGTTCTCTAACTAGGCAGATGCCTGTTGGTTTTCTAAGGACTGTTACTGTGTCTAAGCACACTGAAATACAGCAGTCTATCAAGGCATGACTGATGATTTTTCCAGTTTTGTAAATGGAAGGACATAGTGTACCTTACTCAAGTTCCTGAGAACAGTTTCTTCTCTGCACCTGTAGCGTGACCAACTGCAAAGAAGCATTAACATGTCATTTCATAGGAATAGCCATCATGCCTTCTGTTTCACCTAGTGACATCCATTTGATGGCTTTGAGAGCACAAGTGTATTGGGGTTGATAGTTGCTGATCTTGTTTATCCCAAATGACCTGGGGCTTTTTCTGGAAAACCAAATTTATTTATCCCTTTTTTTTCCTTTCTTTTTCACACTCCTCCAAAGCATTGGCTCTATTCTTAGTACTTTACAGACCTAAGCTAAACTGAGGTTCCCTTTCAAAAAGCTTACAGGCTTGGAAAAGTCAAAGTAAAGCTAGCAAGACAGATGAGAATGCTGAGTGAGGTTTCTTTATAATTTTTTAATGGTTTATTCTTATCAAATCCAATTCTGCTATGTACTGTTGGAAAGAAGAATTCATTCAATGTATGTCAGGCAGTGAATATTATTGAAGAGACTCTGGTAGGTCAGTAGACCATCAGGGCAATGTGTCATTCTATAGCATAGTAATAAAAGCACAGTTTATGTAAAAATAAACATTCCTGAACATTTTTGCTTTTCTCATTGAGATATGCTATTAAAAACATTAATTTGAATTATGTACTTTATTCTGGGAAATAAAACTAAACTGATCGTGGACTCAAACAGGCACAAAATAGATGTGATAGGAAATACTGCTGATGCTTCTTATCTAAATCTGTGAGCACACTATCATTTTTTTATTTTACTCTTTGCAACTATACTTGCTGACTTATTCCATTTGGAAACCATCACCTAAGCTAGTCAGTGCTTTCAAACCAAATTTTGTCCATTTAGTACGAGACTACTGATCTGTTAACACTATAGCTTCTGTGCCCTCCTGCTGAAATGGCAATTAATAAATCAACTTCTATGTCATCTTAATTTTCAGTAAGTATAACAGTGTTATTAATTTCTAGTTTGTAAAAGTTCATGCTAATTGAAGAAAAGATGAAGCATATTATAGCTATGAATTATATATTGAAAATGAAAATTAAGGTTCTTGTCTTAATTTGGAAGATATAGGAAATTAGATAACTTTTTATCTGGAACTCACTTATATAAGCATTGCCAATTTTCCCAGTACAATCTGAAAAAGACGTGATTTCATCCAAAAGGAGAAAAGATTATCTTGTTTCAGAAGGAAAAATGCTAAGCAGCACAATTCAAATGCAGAAATATTGTGAATATTTCTTTAATGCAAAAGTATCTCAAGTGCTTTTTAATCATCTACTTCCTTTTTGATATGAAATAAAAAATCTCGTAGCCTTGGATTAATTTCCATTTTATTAGTCAATTGTTATATCCTTCATGGAGATTGCCAGATATGAGTTCTGCTTGTCCTTACTGTTATAACCATTACAATATTTCAATATTTCAAAGTGCTTTGTTTGGGGAATTGCAGATGAGAATCAAGAACTTACTCTTGTTTAGATGCAATCTACTCAAGGACTTAGATTTATTCACATCTTTCCTTGTTGGTCATTTTCTGTAAATACTTCATCTTTCAAAAGGAGTAAATCAAACAGAAAAATTCACTTGCTTAATTTCAGCCTAAAATAAGCATTCATCAGTATAATTTGTTCAAAGTCCATGATCAGTGCCTTTCATGATCAGTGCATTACAATACATTGTACAACACTGCTTGTATTACGTTAGGAAACAAATTAGCCAAGGAATATCAAAATTTGCTTGAGATTCATGCATGTTCACAAGTGAATGTATGCATTATCATTAAATATACATTTGGGATATTCACTTGATTACTCATTCAGCCAGATCCAAAGAAACTGCCCTGACGTTTGACCACAGTGACATCATAAATGTTTAGGAGCCAGTATCTAATTGCATACGCTATTTTTTTGCAATTACTCTCCTACACTTACTTTTACCATGAGTCTACTAAATATGCTATAGCCAGGACAGAGAGATTCTTGGCTGAGGAACAGCTTCGGAGACCTGTTGTAGCTTTTCCCAGTTAATCTAATCTCCCTTGCAGCTGAAGTATTTTGTAGCCAAAAATTCTCTCTATCAAATAGTGTTATTGTGCTCTTTGTATCTGTTGTAGTTTCCATAGAAATAAATAGGAGGCATTATCTTCAGGGTGACATACTTGCATTGTTTCTTTCAGGTATAAGCTTGGCAATACTGGAGTCTTTTGATTCCAGATATTAGAATAGTAAAAGCAAAAGGAAAAATTGTATTTGCTGCAAAGGTTGTGCTATCTAACACTGGTGTAATTTCTAGCCCTCCAAATAAAGACTTTTCTCTCTTGTGTTTTCCAAAAATCTCCTAATTAAAGTAAATTATTACAAGCTGGTAATTGGTGTAATGGGATTTGGCAAATGAGTTTTGAATGGAGAAGAAATAGTTTTTAGTTCTGCTCTTCAGTGTATTAGTGACAGAGATAGCCATTAGACATATGGTGGACCAAAAGGTAAAATGATCTGTGGAAGGAAACATGGGACATTACAAATAATTCCATAAATGATAAATAAATAATAAATAAATAAGTTACACTAATCTGACAGAATCTGGTGCATTAACACTCATTATGTCTTCTTAAAAATCAAGTTTTGTATATACCTGAGCAAGCTATCAGGGCCCAAAACCTTATGCTGTAATGCAATGGAATTTTGGAACTGACAGGCAAGAGAAATTTTTCAAGTTCTTTTTTAAAAAATTTTACCTCTTGATTGCTCTGCTCCACTGTGTTAATATATCTGATATTTCACACTGCTATGAATATTGTCTAGCCGTGCTTCTCCAAGAACTCTGTACAAAACATTGAACACTTGATGAGTTGGTACCTCAGTGCCTCTCTGAAGTATCATTTCTATCCGACTTTATAGATGAGGGGACCAGGAGGTGAAAGAACTTGCCCTAACTTGTAAAAGATCTGGGATTAGATTCCAGCTTTATCGTGTAATATTATGTACAGGACAATCACGAGCCATTAAACACTAGACAAATGAGTTAATACTGATGTGTGAGTTAAAGACATGGAAATTTTACTGTGGAGGCCTGTTATAGGAAATGCAGAAGGTAACTGTGCTGCACAAATTGCAAACAAAATAATTTCACTTCATTAAAATTTTGTGAGGGTTTTATGCGTGAAGTCTGTTTATATTCAAGTTCATTTCTCTCCTGCTACATCTTTGTTCTCAGCACAGAATTGCAAAGCAGATCTGTTGTGAAAATACTGTCAATACAATTGTCAGCTCCTAATTTATAACAGATCAAACCCTTTTTGTGGTTTTGAAAAGAAGTTGCTTATAGTATGTTCCAAACTGTGAAACGTTATGTAAGCCTGTTAGTGCCTTGACTCTCACGTTGTCATCTCATATGTCTCATTTAAAAAAGAGTGGTCTCAACCCTTCATAATGTAGGTCAATCTTAACAGTGCCAAATTACTCAGGTGCTTCCATCTGGTCTCTCTGCTGCAAGTTTAACGCGTGCAAGCACTTCTTCAGCCTGACTGTCTTTGGTGTTGGTTGGGAAAATCTGATAAAGCTGCCAAAGTTTGGTGGTAGAGGACACTATGATAATTGTCAATTTAACATGTGGATATGAAATGGAAACATTTAGCAGTATTTTTAGGTTACACATGAGCCAGAAGTCCACAGACAAACTTTGCATGCCCTTAGTTAGAGGCTATTGTTCTGAGAAGATGGATCAACATCAAAAATAGATTTGAAGTTGGCTATAAACGGGTTCGAAATCATTGATTTTTTCAGTCATTCACTGGGGGAAATGCTATATATGATGGCTTTAGTTCTGCTCTCATTATGTAGAAAAATAGCCCCAAATTTTAGAACTGCTGATGACTATTTCACTATCAGGCATCTAGAATAATGTTAATTGTACACAGTGCTGTAGGGCAGTGAGATAAGGTCCATTTAGCCATGGAATATATTTTGTTATGTCATTTTTCCCCTAAAATGTAAAAAAAAAGATGCAAGTCAGATGAGTGTTGACTTGGTTAAGCTTCTTATCTCTGCATTGGCTGATGTCTGGCTCAATACAAATCAGAATAATTTATTGAGTGCCATCAGAGTGCTTGCCTATCAGTGTTGTATTAGCATCAAAGAAAAATTTTCTGCCATGAAGCTTGCAGTAAGAAGTTACAAACAAAACTGCTGAAATTCTTGCCCTACACTCAAAACAAGGCAATTAGTTTTCCTATTCCTTTTTCTCTGTAATCTGGGACCAAGTATGGTACTATTTTATCTCTTAAATTAGGGAGGAAATACTTGTTCCTTCATGTCCCTGTTTCAAAAAATACTTCTTTCAATTAATTTTTTTGTGAAGTAGTAGCCTTCCACTAAAATTACCTTTCCCTCACATTAAGTCAGGACTCCAAGCTAACTATTCAGATTAAAAATAATGCAGTAACCTCAAATGGAAGCTGGTAATTCACAATACTTTGGTAAGTCAGATGAGTGTGATTTACCCAGATAAGCACATTGTACAAATTCTTATTTGTAAAAATATTTAAATGACAAATATCCACTCTTCTTCAAATATTTTTTCTTGTAAACGTCTTATCATTCTTGATACTCTCTCCCTTTCAGTCTACATCTTTGGATACATTGCTCAAAAATGGATGCATTAATCATCTTGCTGATTGCTCTTCCTGAGTTTATGTAGATATTTCTCAAAGACTGAGAAAATCTCATTAACTCGCATTCACTTTGTGACCCATTGTTACCTCCTTCAGTTCTCTCTCTACTAGAATGCTGCCTAAGAAGTTTTTTCTCTGTTTTGTATGTATCATTTGATTTTCTTGAATGAATGCATGTCACAATTGACTGTTGATTTCAGACAATTTCTCCAAAGTTATTAAGCTTATATTGAAATATAACCTATTTCAGGTTGGATATTATGAAAAATTACTTCTCTGAAAGAGGGTTGAGGCATTGGAACAGGCTGCTAAGGGAGGTGGTGGAGACACCATCCCTGCAAGTGTTCAAGAAACATGGAGATGTGGCACTGAGGGATGTGGTCAGTGGGCATGGTAGGAATGGGTTGACACTTGGACTAGATGGTGTTAGAGTTTTTTTCCAACCTTAATGAATCTATGATTCTCCCAAATAATCACAGACAGCTCTGTTTAGTAAGATGTGCAAAGTATAGCAAACTGCATATTATCATCAGCATCCTTATCAGAAATATTAAACTGAACTGGATGCATGTGTTCACCAAATGTGACAGAAGAGTGGCTTGTTTGTTTCTGAACCTGCTTATATATTTGCTTGTTTACTAAACAATAACGAACCCTAAAATCTTGCTGGCCTTTCCGTTTTATCTTTGAGGAGTTAACTTGTGTCAACAAATATTTCATTTTGAATTGAACTGCTACTTCCTGCTGGACTTCATTAGCTTTTATTTCCAATATAAAGCCAGCAGATTAGCTCATGCTTGCTGCATTTAACATTTTATTGAGAGTAGTCCCTGCAAATCTCTCCAGAACAATCATGGACTGAGTGAGACTGGGTTGGGCCAGAGGATTAGATGTAAAATGCACAGAAGATTGGTATTTAAAACAGGTTGCTGAAACATTTGATTGAGTTGGGATGCATAACTGATAGAAACAGAAAGGGTGGCAGATGGCTACTGATTGCTCTCAGTCTCACCCCTCATTTTGGTTCACAAGGCCTACATAGCACTTCCATAAGCAAGATGGCAAAGTAATGCTCGCATACCTACTGGAAAATAGAAGTCAGCAGAGACATCAGGTTTATGGCACATCCCTTTCCTCTCTCTCCCCCATCCCCTTCCAGTCTACACATCTGGGGTAGGTCGGGAAAAAGCCACTAATCTACTCTGCACTTCCTAGGGGAGAAAACTACAGTGGCCGCTTCCCATTATGGCTAATGCCTCACTCACATACCAGCTGCCTTTCTCTTAAATAGCCCAGCTTCAACTCAGAGAAATTGTCCACATATACAATTATCTTTGGAGACAGCTGCTTCCACCCTGCAAAAGGCTTTACAGTTCAACCAGTTTTCTGCCTATTTCAGCTCACCTGTTGAAAGCTATGACATCTCTCCACAGACCTCCTCGTTGTAATTCTTAGATCAGGCTGTCACATACAATGTGCTCCTGGTAGATTGCTGACACCTTCAGTGTGATCCCCTAAAACAGGTTTGGTCAAAATTGGATATAAAATTTTTGCTGCTGGAAAATGTCATTTAGTAAAAAATTAGAAAGGACTGTATCCGCAACAGAAAAGCTTCATAAGACAGTGTCCATTTTTCATAAAGCTTTGCCTAGCGGGAAGTGGAAATTATTCTTTATAGCTCATTTCATTCCATCAGCATTGTTGTTTCACATTAAAATAAAAACTGGGTTTGCTGGTTATGATTCACTCTCTCTGTTTCAATTTTCATCTTTTTGAAAATAACTTTTTTTTTTCTCTCAAGTTCAGACTGAAAACCATTTCAAATGTTAGAATTTCCCATGGGAGAAATTTCTCTTTCCAAGCACTTTTACTGTGATCACTGATGAGTCCCATATCTTTCTTTTATGCCCAGAGCACTTCTAGTATCATTATTTCCTCTCTGTAGATCAAACCTTACCAGTAAGAACATTTTAGATTCCCAGCAAAGCAGATTCCAGTGACAAACAGCTATTCCTCGAGTGACACTCCTTTGACTGTAAATGGAGGAATAATATGATTTGCAGAAATAGTCTTGCTTTTTGTAGATGTTAGAATAATATAATCATTGATATTTTACTGAGCCATGCATGGTTCAAAGAAATTTTTAACACTATGGACACCATGGACACTTGTGTTTTGGCTTGGTGATGAAGTGATGAATACATATGATCTCTTAGAAGGAACTCTGCAGCATCATCACCGTGTTAGGTTACTCATGTTTCCGAACAGAAAGGCATTTTCTTTCATTCTTTGCTAACAATAATTCTTTGCTTAGCTAAATTATGATTACTAAAAATGGAAAAAGGATAGTCAGTAAAGTAACAGTTTTAAAACATTTTTTTCTTTTTCTTTTTAACTCCTTGATTTCCTTTTCCTTTTCCTTTTCCTTTTCCTTTTCCTTTTCCTTTCCCTTTCCCTTTTCCTTTCCCTTTCCCTTTCCCTTTCCCTTTCCCTTTCCCTTTCCCTTTTCCTTTCCCTTTCCCTTTCCCTTTCCCTTTCTCTTTCCCTTTTCCCTTTCCTTTTCTCTTCCCCTTCCCCTCCCTTTTTCCCTTTCCCTTCAACTTTCCTTTCCCTTTCCCTTCATTTTTTCCTCCATAAAAACAGCTACATGGATTTATCTTCTCTTTCCCCCACAGCTGTATGTGTCTGCAGTGCAAATGTCTGAGTTAACTCTGCAAAATCCTGCAATATTTCTCATCTTGCACAACACAAACCAGAACCTGATCCTATAACTCAGCATAACCCTTGAGCAACCTTTTTTCATATCTCCATGAAGATGAGGTCAAGCAACAGATGCATGGCTGTCCTACTGTAAACATGGACTGTGACCTCCTATTGAGTCCTGGGGGTGCACTTGGAAGTATAGAGCTGTGCCCCAGAATGGGGAGCATCCTTACCTTCTGTCTGAGCATGCAGAAGACTACGGTCCTGCAGAGAAAGAAAGAGGAGTTCCCTCAGCCAGCTCAGGAAGGGGTGGAGGTCAAAGTTGTGATTCTGGAATAAAAGGAAAGCTGTGCAACAGGAGTTGTGTTTTACTCATGATTACGCTGTCTGTGCAGAGTGGAGAATGTGCTGAGAGTAAAAAAACTGTTTTGAAAACTTGATGCCAAGCACTTTTGATATCTCAAAGAGAAAAAAACAGATTAAAGCTGAAAAAGTATCTAAAATTATTTTAACTTGGGCTGTTTTTACTTTGAAATAAGAATTGCTATGAAGATTGCTATGAGTACTTGACTAAGCTTGCGCCTAGAGCCAGTGATTTCTGTCTCAGCCTCTCTTTCCCTGAATTTATGCTAGCATTGTTATTTAGTCTGTCACCCTTCTACTGTAGGGAACAACAAAAACATCTATATTGTTTTAAAATTTCAGTTGTCTTTGCGATAGCTGGGGATTTTGTCATCCAAATGCAGGCTCTTCTCTTTCCCCAAGGTTTTTATGGGAACAGTAATCAGAGATAAAGCTATTAAACTGCCAGCCAGGGATCATTTTACGGCATATTTGCGAGCAAGTATGATTATGAATGCTGCAAATAAATCTTATGAATTATTTTTCAGGTTTTTTGCTCGTATGTAATATACAGAGGAAAGGTTAGTGCATGCAGCTGTTTGTTACTATAAATTAATTTAATGCTGCACTTACAAAATCATTGACCTGACAATGTTGGAAACAGAAGCCTTAATTCATTACATTTCTCTGCACAGTATCTCATGCTGCAGTTTCTATGGAAAGTGGCCTGTGATGATTTCTTCAAAGGTGAAGATAGAGCAGTAAGTTGTGAATGCACAGATGTTTGTGATTCCTTTGGCTTTGCAAACTGAAATGCAGTGGACCATTGGGCAAAGACTGGCTTCTCTGGAAAGAGTCTGAAGGAGTGACAGGAGGATGCTGGATTAAATTAGAGATTAATCCCAAACTTGGAAATCTTTTCTTGGTATCTTAGGTCAGCTGAATGTCTGGCCTGATGGTTGTCAGTACACAAGAACAGAATCTCACTAACTGCCTTCAGAATGAGAAGTATGATTTTTACTGATGATGTGAATTATATGCTCAGGATGAAAAGGCCTTTGTTCTTCTACACATACAATTTTATTGAAATTTGAAGACAGAAACACAATTATTTAATTTTGCTCTCATTTTCCCAAGCTGATCTCTCTCAAAGGCCTTACCACAGCTTCTGTTTTTCCTGCCCTTCCTTTGTCTGGCTATAGACAAATATTGCTGACATCCCCCTTTGAGAAGGATTTGCGGTTTTAGTACTTGGCTCAGGGCTTGGTCAGCTTCAGGACCAGCTAGAAAACCTCAGTAGATACTAAAAACCAATGGAAGCTAAAGGAGGAGGGAAGTTGCTCCTGCAACAGCAGGAGCTGGACAAGTGAAGAGCAATGGCGCCAAGTGCACAGATGAGTCCCTGTCAGAGGTTCTCCTGGCCAGAAGAGGAGGTGGGAGGAGATGATGTGCCAGTATCTTCCTTCTGGGCAGCCCGTGTCCCGCTCCCGCACTCCCTGCTGTCTCCATCTGACTCCCCACAGCAGGGTTAGACATGTTTCTGCTTTGGGTACTCATAAGCAAAAATGGTGGTGAGTTATCCTGTGGGGTTGCCTTTGATTTATCCAGTTCTGTTAATATTATAGTTGTACCTGAATGTTCACTTAATCATACCACTCTGTACCATATTTAGAGATATCATTTGGCCGAATTATCGGAAGAGATTGAATTAAAGTCTCCCAACTCCTTGAAAAGGTTATTTTATAACTTTTTGAAAAGAGACTTTGATGGTTTTCTTTCAAGTGGCTTTCTGGTGAAACAGCTCCATTTAAAAACAAAGCAAAAAAAAAAAAAAAAATCATACAAAATCAATATAAAGAAAAAACAACACCTGTAGAAAACAAAAGACAACCAGGATGATCCTCTCACTTCTCTTGGGCAAGAGATGTAGTTATGGAACTTCTCTTATAGAGGAGGAAAGCAAATATGGACCACACATATCCTGAGAGCTATTGAAAATCATCTGGGCTAATGATAGTGATTCCTGCTTCAACAACTTTGTGATTTTTTGACTGTTTTTATTTTAAAGGCTTGAAAAAGGAAAAGAAAAAGAGTAAGAAAAAGAAAAAGGGGGAAAAAAAGGAAAAAGAAAAAGGAAAAAGAAAGAGGGAAAAAATATTTGGGTTAATGGAACTTTCAAAATTATAAATAAAAAATAGAGTCTCAATTTTGGAAATTGAGGGATAAAAAATGAAGTTGACCCCTATTCAGAAATGATCAAGGTATACCTCATAATTTTTCATTCTCTTTACTGATGGTATTTCTGATTGTATTTCAGATGTATTTCAAATGTCTTTCAACTTTACACTTTCAGATACAAAATTCTGCTTTCTCCTCTGCAGACATCTCCTCCTACTCCTTGCCTAATCTTAAGTGCTACCCATATTTTTCTACCTACATCCACATCCAAGAATAATCTGCCTATCTGATAGTGATTTTTAATTTTTTTTCCCACTCAGCTGAACCTAGAGAAACACAGCATAGCTTGAGCCTTTAGTTCTAAACAAATTTCATTGTCTAGAATAAATTCTTTGGTGAAAAAAATGTAATGAGAAAGATTTAATGCTTCCCTTCACACATTCTCAAAGTATTTTCACTGTTGCTACTTCACTTAGCATAAATGCTAAGTAACATATGTTCATCTTACCTGTTCCCTATGCTAAGACTTCTGCCTCTGAAACGTGGCACAGAGTATAGTCAGCCTTCAGTGTGCATCTGTGATCCTGCAAAGACTCATTTGTACTTATTTTACTTTGTGCTTCTTCAGTGGTCCTATTAATACTGGTAAAGTCTTTGTGGGACCGGAATCCACAAAACTGATTTCCTGGAGTGCTATTTCGAGGGTGATCTTATGACACCCAGTGATAACTTTACCACTAAGAACAGGACTTGAACTAGGTGCTGTACAAATTCAATGTGACTCCTACGTGATTGCCAGCTTTTACATACAATCACAGGTTAGATAAAGCAAATATGGGAAATAGGAATGAGGAGGAGGGATGGAAGAGGGGAGTGTGAAAATGTTGCAGTGACCTAGTATTACGCAGCAGTATGAATCATCAAGATATTTCTTGAAGACAGATTTTTAAGGGACAGTTAATTTTGAACCCTGTTTATATTTAATCCCTTTTATTTTTCATGTGCTTATTTTATTTCTCCTTCTAACTTCCATACCAACAATCTGTAATTATTTGTCACTATAGTCTTCACAGAAAGGAGTGCATCCACATGAAATGCTTCACATATGGAAGACTTCATCTTAGGTACCAGCCTGTAAATGACAAAGAATCTCAGTGAAAATCTGTAGGTAGCAAGAAAATATTTGCAATTCCAGATGGATAGAAAAACTGTCAGAAACCAGAAAAATATCATAGACCTTAGGCTCTTTTGATTCATTCTATAAATTCTGACTGCTAC